TCAGAATACAGATTGTGCCTATTATGTTCACCACCATATCCCCAGCACCATAGCAGTGCTTGGTACTTAATAGTTGTTTTGTACTATTTGTGGAATTAGTGAATGAATTTCTTTTTTTTAAGAGAGAGAGGGAGAGAAAAAGAGAGAGAGAAAATTTTTTAATATTTATTTTTTAGTTTTCGGTGGACACATCTTTATTTTTTATTTTTATGGGTGCTGAGGATCGAACCCAGCACCCCTTGCATGCCAGACAAGTGCGCTACCACTTGAGCCACATCCCCAGCCCTAGTGAATGAATTTCTAACAGAAAGATATACTCTATATATCATGCACAGATTACCAAATATATAGTAACATATATTTACACTAAAAGTTTGAAATATAGGTTCATATTGTTTAACGGAAATGTGCTTGGAAATGTATGGGATCTGATGGTACTCATTTTAATAACCATTATATTTTTGATGTTAATACATAGAAATTCTGGTAGAAAATATATAGTGTTAATCTACAGATGTATTACCACCTCAGAGCTACATTTATAATCAGGAAAATACAAGATTTGGAAACCAGTTCCCTGATTTTGCACATAAGTAGCTTGAGGCCCATAGTGACAAAATAACTTGTTAATGTATCATACAAAATTATTTTAAAACTGTGTATTTCAAAATTAAGAGTGTTTAATTTGAAACAAAGAAAATATACTCTAGAATAGCTGGAATGTATAGGGAGTTTGAGCTGATGAAAATCTGGAGGAAAGAAATGGAAACATTGCCAACAAGAAAAAAGAAAATAAATATTGAATCAGTTTAAGAATGAGAAACTTTAAACAAAACTGTGCAAAAACTGGACTTAGTAAACTTGCACAGTATTATGTTCCATATTCCTGGAGTTTTTATGCAAAGGTAATATGGAAACTTAAGGCTCTCAGTGATTGGGCTGATGCCCTCCCTCTTATCAAAGAGTTAACTTCTCAGTCTACCTATTCCAATACTAATGTTTTACAGCTCATCCTCATGAAACACATGAAATATTGTTTTACTAGCTATCTGGGCATCCCTTAGCACAATTAAGTTAGCCTATAAAATTAACCAAGTGGCTACAACAAAATACTGGAGACTGGGTGGCTTATAAGCAACAGAATTTATTTTTCTCACACTTATAAAGGTAGAGAAATCCAAGGTCAATGTGCTAGCATATTTTGTGTCCAGTACAGGTCTAAACAGATAGTGGTGTTTTTGCTGTATTCAAATGATGGAAGGGGTGAGGGTGCTCTCTGGGGTTTCATTGGAAAATGCACTAATGCCATTTATGAGAGTTTACCCTTATGATTTGTTAAACTTTCAAAGGCCCTATCTCCTAACACTATTACCTTGATGATTTGGAGTTCAATATTGTAATTTTGACAGGAGGATATGAATATTCCAACCATAGCAACTTCTAAGATCACTTCCATCTTCAATGATTCTATAAAAATGTAATAAACCCACTAGAAATGTATTTATATAGAGTCATTTCCCATTGCCTTTTAGTTTGAGGAGTATCAAATAGGAAATATTTTAGCCTTCTTATGCAATAAGTTCCCATATACTTTCAATATTCATATTACATATCTTATCTTTATCTTTGTACATTTCACAATCACTCAACTCTCCCAAAAATGTTGCAAAAATGTTGAAGATAAAGAAGAACTTGGTCCTTGTGTTCCTTTATTTTGTCCAATATATTTTATGACCCAAATGAAACAAGAAGTATTCTGAGGAAACTGGTGTCTTCCTCCAATTGTTTATACTATCACTGCAGCAACAGGGTCCAGGACTATTGTAAAAGAAAAAACTTTTGCATTATAATTTTTATACATCAGAATTCACAGATGGAAAACAGAGAGACCACTGACAATTTGAAGGTATTTTAGTAAGAAGTTGCAGTTCTTTACTTTTTCTGAAGTCTACTATTCCATTTTCAGTGAGATAATATAATGGGAAATTGAAAAAGATCAAAAATTTTTAACTAATATTCCTTCCAAGGGGGAAGTTAGTAAAATTAGAAAAAAATTATACCCATAAATATTTTTATTTTCTTTTGTATGGTTTTAACTTGGCAGTTTACAAAACAATCCATGTATTTCAGACTTCACATATAGTATTGGATGCTAAACATATCCAACATCCTAAAGTTCCTGAATTTGAAGATTTCCCAACAATTACAAAGAAAAATTGGTATCATTGGACTAACTGAATAGTTCTTCTGTGTTGCCTTATATGTATTGGTTTGAAAAATCTTACAACGTATAAAGGTAACTTCATTCATGCTTTGTATTTATATTTCTAAGGTAGCTTTGTATTTCTGTAGTCCCTGTTATACAGAAGAAATTCTGGTTGAAATACAAGGAAGGAGTATCATAATCCAATTTAGGACTGAAATTTAAATCTATAATCATTATGAGTTCATGTTTTGATAAGGTGTGGGGTTTAAGTTGAGGTCCATTTCATTTTCCTTTGGATATCCAATTGTTTCAGCATCATTTCTTTTTTTTTAAATTTTTTTATAGTTGTAGATGAATGCAATACCTTTATGTTATTTATTATTTTTACGTGGTGTTGAGGATCAAACCCAGTACCTCACACATGCTAGGCAAATGGTCTACCACTGAGCCACAACCCAGGCATCCCCAGCATCATTTCTTGAAAAGACTACCATACCCCATCAAATGGTTTCTGTACCTTTGTCAAAAATAAGCTGAGCTCTGCATGCTTGTGTGGGGCTATTTCTGACTTGGGTATTTTGGTCCATTGACCTAATGTCTTTAAATTGAGTGTCAGGATTCCTTCCACTGTATTTTTTAAATATTGTTTTATCTATACTAACTCATGTCCCTTCCATAAGAATTTTACAATTATCTGTTAAATATATCCACAAAAATTCTTGCCTGGATTTTTATAGGAATTTTGCTAATCCTGCATATCATTTTAGGAGGAATTTACATCTTTAGAACACTGAGTCTTCTAATCTGTTAGCACATAATATTTCTCTATATATTTAGAACCATTCTTATTTCATCAGTGTTTTGTAATTTTTAGCACATAAATCTTGTACACGTTTTGTTAATTTTATACCTCAGAATTTGTTTTTTGAAAATAGCATTATAATTTTAACTATTTTATGTTGAGTCTGTTTGTGCTTTTCAATGGATTATTTCATCTCATCTAAACCATGATATTTGTGTGGGTAAAGTTGTTTTTATTATTCTGTTATTCCTTTCGTGTCTGCAAAGTCTATAGTGACATTCTTTGGTTCATTCCTGATATTAACGTTTTATTTTATTTTTCTTTCCTTGCCAGTCTTGCTAGATACTTATCAATTTTTCCTGTTGTTTTTATTTTAAAGCAGTTTTTAATTTTCTGTTGTGGAAGACTAGGAGGAAATAAATAAGCTAAAGATTGGGATAAAATATTTGTCAACCACATATCTGACCAAGAACTCATATATAGACTATATGAAGGACTCTAAAATTACACTCTCTTGTGTGTTCAATCAAAAACTTCAATTAGAAAATGAAGAGAAATTTCACTGAAGAGGATATACAGATGGCAAATAAGCACATGGAAAGATGTTCAACATCACTACCAATTAGAAAAACCAAATTAAGAACTCAATGAATCTCAGTGGTAGAGTGCCTGCTTAACATGCATAAGACCCTAGGTTCAATCCTCAGGAAAGGAAGGAAGGAAGGAAGGAAGGAAGGAAGGAAGGAAGGAAGGAAAGAAGGAAGGAAGGAAGGATAAACTTGATGAACCTTCATTACACACATGATTGGGAACATCCAATTTTTTAAAAATTGTTGACAACAGTAAATATGGGCAAGAAAGCTGAAAAGTTGGGTATCTCATACATTACCAATAGTAATGTAAAATGGCATTGCTCCACTAGAAAACAATTTGGCAGTTTCTTATATAATCTAACATATAATCCCAAAATTGTATTCTTATTTATTTTCCCTTGAAAAATTGCAACTTATGTCTGCACAAAAATCTATTCATGAGTGTGCATAATAGCTTTATATATAATAGCCAAAAACTGAAAACAACATGTGTCCTTCAACAGCTGAAAGATTAAACAAACTTTGGTACATACATACCATGGAATACCACTTGGCAGTAAAACAAAATAGATTACTGATACAACTTAAATGACTCTCCAGGGAATTATGCTGAATGGGAAAAAAAGGCTGATTTTAAAAGATTTACTGCTGTATGATTCCACTTATATAATATTCTTGAAACAGATACAGAAGTAGACAATAGATTAGTGGTTGCCAAAAGTCAAGGATAGTGGGGAGGGATAAAGTTATGGTATAATAAAAGAACATAGAAATATATATAGTGTACAGTATCAATTTCCTGCTTTTGATATTGTGCTATAATATTGTAAAGTATAATTTGGAGGAAATGGAGTGAAAAATCACACAAGACCTATTTTTGAAATTTTTTTGTGATTCTAAAATTATTTCAACATGTTTCAAAAATTGATTCTAAATACAATAAAATTAAATTTTTAGAATAGAGAGCAATAAAGAGCACATTTTTACCTAGAAGGAACAAAACTTGAAATGGCATTTGAACTATAGGAATATAGAACTAAAGTAATGGCCTTATTTATTTATTTATTTATTTTGGAAAAAAAAAAAGAGGCAATTCACTTTTGAGAGATTTGGTGAATTGATTTCCTCAGAAATAAGGTAAAAACAGAAACAAAGTGATCTCTACTAGATTGTATATTGTTCTAAAATCTGAATATTTAGATAAATATCCTGCTTGTGCTAATAATCTCTTTTGAAATAAAACAAAATTATTTTTATTTTAGCTTATTGACATAAATTCATTATTCTGTACCTGTTTATTCTTTTTATTCAAATTTTATGTAGCATCCATTCATTTTTAATGGCCAGACTGCTAAGTTTTCTACATTTATAAAACTCCCTCTTATATTTTTTTATAAAGACTTGGATTGGGAATCGACGAAGGAAATACCGTTTAATGGGGATTGAAGTTCCACCTCCAAGAGGAGGCCCTGCTGATTTCTCTGAGCAGCCCGAATCTGTTTCTTTGTCTGCACTCACACAAGGAGAGGAAGCTGGGCATGAAGTAGGAGAGGATAATGACAGAAATGATGAAGTATCCATCTGTTTGTCCGAAGGAAGCTCTCAAGGTACTTTATGTGCTTGCTACACCTCCTAATAATAGCCTTTATAAATCTGATGCATTTTTCTTGCTTTTTGGCTCACTGCACCTCAAATGTAGAGTTTTCAAAACACTTGACCAAGAATTTGTAAAGAAAGAGATTCATTTTTAATGTTTCCATTAAATAGTCTCCCCCATCAACTTACACAAGTAGCAGTCATCTACCACAAAAATGCTATTTATTTCAATAATTCATATATTATAATTAAATAAATGATTATCTTTATTTTATTGGAGTTCTGGTCAATTTAGATTAGAGCACTAAAATACACTGTAATGCAAGGGAGTATGGTACAACATAATGAACAACAGGCTTGGAGTGTAGCAAACTGGGTGCTTGCAAGTCCTATCTTTTCCATTATCTGATTATATGACTTCAGGCAAATCATTTAATCCACTGGGCTTTAGTTTACTCACTTGCAGAAGGAAATTAGATTGGATTGTCTTTAAAAACCTCTCAATATTTCCTTAAATGAAACTGCAAATAATACCATGGAATCATTTGTCCATGAGAAATGTATTTCATTTGACTTCAACCATGGAAATAATACTAATGCTACTTTTATTAACACTTTTATTAATGTTTAATTTAAATTTCATAAAATTCATCCATTTTAAGTGTACAATTCAATTATTTTATTAAATTTAAAACCATTACTATAACTAAAATCTAATCTTAGATCATTTTCATCACTCAAAAAAACCTATTTTCAGTCAATATCCCCTTCCATCCTCAGCTTTAGGGAACTACTAATCTGGTTTTTGACTACATAAATGTGCATTTTCTGCATATTTTAAATAAATGGAATCATACAATCTATAATAATTTTGCATCTGTGATTGAGAAACAAGGAGAATAATGTATTTGCCCATTTTGTTTGTTTTGTTTCATTGAGTCCTATTCAGGACACTAACACTCATACATTGACATTTTCCAGTTCATCATTTGCCTTTTAATTTTGTTTATGATGTTTTTCTGATGTCAGAATTTTTGTTGTAATTTAATATTGTCAGATTTACCAATATTTCCTTTATGATTCCTGACGTGGTTGTCATTTTTTTGTGATACAGCTATGCAAATATATCTCTATATTTGCTTCTGATATTTTATAGTATTATTTTTAAATATTCATATTTATTTCACTTATAATTTATTTTGCCTTAATGTGTGTTAGGAAAATGCCTAATTTTATATTTTCAAAGATGTAAATAGTTATCTCTGCACTGTTTGTTAAATAATATATATCTTTTTTCCAGTGTGCTTAAGTGTAGCTTTGTGTCAAAGATGCATACATTTATATGCATACATACATAAATACATACACACATATGCATGAACCCATACAAATATACACACTAGGTGAAATTCTGAAGTTCCTCTTATGTTATGTGAATCTGACTATTTACAACGTGGCTTTATGAAATGTCTCAAAATCTGGTAGGATTCTTGTTATTCTTAGCTCTTGATTCTTCTGAATAAAATTTAGAATTGTTTAGTTTTTATCTTTTCCTAATTTCATCTTCAAAACCCATTCAATACTTTATTGGCATTGCATAAAATGGATAAGCTATTATAGAAATATTAATTCTGGTTTGCATTTATTGAGTTTTATAGAGCTGTCCAGCAAGCTCTTAGATACTATGGTCTGGAACTCAGAAGCAAGGTTAAGATAATGTGAAATATTTGAATCACCCACACCAAAACCAAAAACTCCTAGACATAAAAATAGAAGATTTATTGAGTAAGAAAAAAAATAAAGGACAATGGACAAGGACTGGGTGTTGAGAAAAATTCAGATTTGGGGACTAGAGAAGATAAAAGAAGCCATTAAAAGATCATTCAGAAACAGGAGACAAAGGAAAAAGGAAGATTTCAGAAAGAAGAGTGGTCATTATTATCTCAGTGATCTCGCAGACGTTGAGTAGAATGGAGAGGCCATTAAATCTGTTTTTAAGGGATTCTTAGAAAAAGCAATTAATACATGCACTGGCAGAAATTAAACATTGCAGTAGGTTAAGTAATAAAAGGGAAAGAAAAGCTGTCACTGTTGAGAGGGCTATGTACTTCAAGACCAGGTGTTTAAAATGTTATCAATTTATGAATGTGAAATGTTCAAGTTTCTCTCTTTCCCTCTTTATCTCTCTTTCTCACTCTTTTTCCCCATTGTTACTGATATTGGTGAAGATGGTAACAAAATTTAATATACAAGGAAATTGTGAAGCAGATTTAAAAAGCACCAAATTTAAAAAAAAAGAAGCATTTCATCACTTCTAATCCCTTTATTTCTAATATAGTGGGTTCATTAAACACAATTTTGTCTTCTCTCAGTCCTGGAGATACTTGGAAATTCCCAGTGATTCATGACAGGCTCTTTAGAACATAATGTCTGGCAGCTAGTTGAAGGCGAGTGGGGAAACAGGGATTTGTGTCTTTCTGAGAGTGGGTGGGAAAGGCTGTGAGGAAATATTCTGATAAAGTTCAGAAGCCCCTAGGTGGATTTTTATTCCTTAACTGCCACTCCCCCACCTATAAGGGAATTTTAGAAAAAAAGGCAGTTAATGGAAAAAAAGTGAAAGTTAATTTTAAAGCCCTCTATAATGGTCCACTTTTAATAAACCATTGCTCCTACACTGGCATTCTTTGTCATATAATAGCATGTTCTCTAGACAGCTGGCATAGTAATCAAGACCTAATGAGAAAGAGGAGAGAGAGAATTTAATGTATGAATCAAAAAACACTTGACGAGAAGTGCGATTGCCTAGAATTTCTCTCGGCGGCTTATTTTTCACAGCTGCATGATAACCTTTTCATTCTCATCAGAAATTGCAACAGAAAAGCATTTTCAAATACAGAAAAGAGCCCCTTTTTGTGCAGTTTACTACTACTTCTATTCTCTTCCTCATTTTGCTGATGGAGAATACTAATCTGATTGGTTTGACTGTGATCATTTTGTGAGGATTAAGTTAATTGTATCATCTGGTTTAAACTAATATCAAACCTTTAAATATGCTAACCATATTCTGTTACAGTTTATGAGAATGCAGTTAGATGTATGTCTACTTTGAGAATTTCATTAATTTACTCTTAGACATATACGTACAGAATGATTAGAGTAACAGATCATACCATTTCAAAAATCTAGCAACTGAAATTCAAAGTCCTTATAACACATCTAGTGATTCAATAGGATTTATAAAAAGAGAAAGATATCTTTAAATATGTGCTTAGAAATTACATGTTAAAATCAATAAAAATGCTATAAAATTTTCTAAAACATCTGCATAACAAACATAAGACTTTTTAATTGCAGTTAAAGGTAGGTTTTGCTGGAGTCAAAAAATGCTGCTATGTTGCTAATCTTTTCACAGTTTCAAATCCATTCCTTTATCTCTGAGGTGCTGATATGTCCCTAACACAGAGCTTCTGGCTTACCTCTAACATCCGTATTCTATCTCCTACTTTCCCCTCTTTGACTTCCTTTTACTATCCCTGTGCAGGGATGAAGAAAAGGGAGATATGGTTGGGACTAAAATTTTTTAAATCCTCCTAGTTCATCCCTCCACAAACTGTGAACTTCAGCAAAAGGAATGCTTGGATGAATGAGCTCCCTAATTTCAAGTTCTCTATTTTCTAAAACATATACTGATGGTTAAGAAATTTTGAATGTTTTGTACTATTCTGAGGAGCAAAGTGATTAAAGTTTGGGAACAATTAGCATCTATAATATTAATTTTTGCAGCAAAGCCTTTTTCTGCTGTATCTATTATGTGGTTGTGCACATGAAAAATAATTTGGCATACAATTCCCTAGTGTGAGTATGTAGCCACATCATAGAGTGCCCTCTAGAGTTGTAACTCATTAACAATTCTGCTTATTTATTTTCCAGTTAGCAGAGCTGCTTTTCTTAATAATCAGACTTATTAACAATGTTTATTTTCCAAGCTTTCACAATGTAAAAGGAAACCTTTCTTATTCAATGCATCACTTCACGTTTTTATTTAGAAATCCTCAAAATAGTTTTTATTTAAGTCTTCTAAAATAATCAAACCATGCATAAATATGTTGCCAGTAGAGCAAAACTGTGCACAAAGTTACAAGTAAATGAGAACAGGAATATATGGCAAACCTATAAGGAATAGTACCTATAATGATCTTGTTGGTGAGCAATATAACCCGTCTTCTGAGACCACCAACTCTGCAGCTAAAGCTGATGAAAAATTTTCCTCCCTTCATTTCATTTAGTTGCCAATTTAGTAGGACTTTAAAGGTCTATGATTTGAAATGTCTAAATAATGAATAGGTTTACAGTCCCTTTGTCTAGGAACCATTCTATTTTTTAAATTTAAATTGACTTATTTTAGATTCCACATATAAATGGGATCATGTAATTTTTTCCTGTCTAGTTTATCTTAGAATAACATCTTTTAAGTCCAACCACATTGTAGCAAATTTTAGGGAAAAAAGAAGATCAAATATATAGAAGTAGAAAATAAAAATTAGTATTAGAATAGAGATGGGGAATGGGACGACTTCAGTTAAAGGATGTGAAGCAGCAAGTATGTATGATGAATGAGTGGAAAGATCTAATGTAAAACATGAGGACTATCACTAATGATAGTGGATTGTATTCAGGGGTTTTTGCTAAATGTTTATAGCTGCTATTGCCCGGGAGGGTTTCACTATATGAAATGATAGATATATTAATTTGTTTCAGTAAACTAACCATTTTACTATATACATGTGCATTATAATATCTACCACTGAGCTACACCCAAGCCCCTAAAATTTATTTTTAAAATAGACCTAGTAAGAGACAGAAAAAAGATTAAATCAAATTTATAGTAGACTTCATATTAAAATTCTTGCTAAAGTTTTCCTGGATTTCTTCAACTTGAATTCTCTCATAGAATTCTCCTAAGTGAGTTCCTGGATTCTGCATGATTTCCTATTAATCATCCCTATGCTCATATAAGACACTCTTACATATGTTTACATGGGAAGGAATGGGCTCAGAAAAAATTTGGGAGGGCTGATATTTTTGTTATTCTTTCTAATGTGAAATAAAATCTCAACTGCCAAAGAACAGGGAAAATCTATTAATATATATCCAAATAATCTCAATGACATGTCCAAGAAGGGGGGGGGGGGGCGGGCATTGTTATCCTGTTTTTCTAATGGTTAAAAGATAAAACAGGGGCAATAATGTATGCAGACACCCAGTGCCTTGAATTAGCCACTTTCCATAATTTAGCATGAAGAGTGTTTTAGTAAGTTGGTTTTTTTCCCCAAAACTACATTACTTTCTTTCCTAAATTTTTTCCTTCACTATTGTAAAATATTTAATTTAATAAGAAAAGGAGTATATCTTCATTGAAGAAAAATTTGGTAAATACAATAAAAACAGAAGTAATTCTACCTCTCAGTGATAACCCCTCTGGAAATGGGGATTAGGGGATATTTTGGCCAGTATTTTCTCTTAGCATATATACAAGATAATGATTTTAATAATTTTTTCCAATAGTAATGAACAATAAATTTTCTCCATAGAAATATTTATATACAATAAGAAAAATAAGAAAATTGAAAAAATCTCTATCCAGAGGTAATAATAGTAATATTTTGATGTAAACAGTGCCATTCTTTTTTTTCCTCTCCATTAAAATATGATTTTTTCTCCTTTACCCAATTAAAAGTATGTGTAGGTTTGGTCACCTTTATTTTTCATTTTACAGTAGATGGTTATTAATTTCCCTGTTGCTAACTATTCTTCTATTTCATTTTTAGTGGCTTTATAGTATTTATTGTAAAGATAGGTCCTAAGTGATTTCTCCCAGTCTCCATTGCTAATGATATAGGTTTCTTCCTTTTTTCTATTTAAATAGCACTGTAGAGACCATCCACACTTATTTCCTTAGGAAACATTGTTAGAAGTAGAATTGCCCATTAAAGCATTTGTGAAGTGAATTTGCCATCTGTATCTTTTTACAATAGAGACATTATTTAAGTGGTCTTGAGAAAAAAAAAAAAAACACTCAATATTAAGTTTTGGGGTATGAAAAATGAAATTATCCTTTTTTCCCCTATAGAAGAGCCCAGTGATATTGTTCCAAATGAGTCAAGGGCTCAGAAAGAGGAGGACCACCATGCAGTATCCGCAGATAATGTGGTATGTACACTTTGAAATTCTTTCCTCATTACGTGATGGATTTCAAGACATATTTCCAGTTGGTGACAGAATCAGCTTTGTCAGAATAATGTCTTTCTCTACTTCACAAAGCAAAACAGCTTTTTTTAATGAACTTATATATGCTTGAATGATATCTTTGAATGCTTACTAAATAAAATTTAAAATGCCTCAATGTGTTTTATTTAGGGGATTTCAAATAAAAAACAATACTTATAAATATGATACTTTATGTATGAAAAGTTATTTTTCTCTAACATACTTAGCAAGTAGCAGATTTCTTCTCATTTGACAGAAAGCAGAATTAAAATGGAGTTTAGCCTGAGATCATGAAGGAAGCCTTTGTCAGTTATGGTACTTGTGTTCCAGACCCAGGATTTCTGACTCTGATTTCTCTGTGTAGACCATACCTATCTATATTATATTTAGAATTGTTTCTTTTTTCTACTTAAATTGAACTCTGTTACTCACCTTAAACATCATAGTAAAGGAGGAACAAAAATATTACAGTTCAACAGCAGGCAGAGTCAGGCTGTGTGTGGATTAATCTGGGTTTTGTGAAAATGTAAACATATAATAAGGTTCCCTCAGCAGCTGTTTTAGAAGCATTTGTTTTTACTTGACTCCGTCAAATAATATAGAAATTAAGACAATGTTAAGCAAAATCATGCATAGAGGGGAATAGGAAAAGTCATTGTGTATTTTTTTCCCTTTTGAATCAGTATTTTGTGCTTGATTGCAGTCATTAAAAGTATGCCCCGATAATGGATTTTTTTTGTTCCAAAATTACTGTGATATCAAAATTAACCCTGACTTCCATTACCAACATTATTTGTTTGTCCCTATGATCCTGCCACATCTGTTTAATAAAAATTAAGCACATACAATATGCAGTTTTGCTCTTGTTTGTTAAATATTTACAATATTTAATATTGTTAATCATATGTAGAATGCAGCTTAGGATTGCATTTTATTAAGTCCTGGCTGAAGTCTATGTTTGACTCTCCTAACACTAAATTCAACAGGTTACACTCCTAAAAAAAAAAAGCTTTGATTTTTGAGGCAAAGTCATTTTTTCATTATGTAACAAAAAAATATTAGTTTTCTAGAATTTTACATTTTGTAAATATTCCTAAATTGCACCAACTAATAATCTCCTTCTGATATAGATTTGAATCATAGTATATAAGCCATATACATGTATTTACAAATTGAAACCTCTTTCTCCTGAAAAAAATGCTCATTTTTAGCCTGCCTTGAATCTCCCTTGCAGCAGACATTTGAAGATAATGAATGAAGTCATTGCGTGGAATGACTCACAGTCACTTAGGCACCTAATTTTTCAAGAACAATTGATTTTCAGAGACAAAGCTCCAAACTTTCAAAGGTTGATCTCCTCTGCCTGTAACTTTGGAGTGCCCCCAATTATTCATGGATGACAAATCACACAGACATATAAGACCTATTTATATGCACAAATCTATACAGTGGCCTTTGGTGCCTTCCTTCCTGGATTGCTTAGCTCCTTTTTTTCCCAGAACCAATCCAAATAGTTAGAGAATATGAAAAAAATCAAAAAAAATATCATTTCTGAGGTCTAGGGAGAGCCAACATGATTAAGTCCCAAGTTTATAGTGATTATAATAGAAAACAAAACATTAGATTCATCTCCAGGCAGCGGTAGAAAGCAATTTCATTGCAGCTGTCCTTCTGATTCAGAAGCCTGGAGGTCAGAAACCCTGTAATGGTATCATATCCTCGTAGGCAATATTTCAAATATGATCATTCCACGTTTGTTTGCGACTTTTAATCACCATTTATATTGCTGGGTAGGAAGCCTAATTTCAAATTCTGTCTACAACATGCTGCTATTAATGTGCTTGTTCTTAAAAGACTTGTCTAGTGACTAGGTCTTGCTGAGCTTTTCCCTTTTTTACAGTGTTTAAATGTTTCAGGGTGCTTTTAATTTTTAACTATGTTTTTTTACATGCAAAAGAAAAATTTAGAGCTGATATTGTCTTTTGGTTTTTGCTTTTTAAAAAAACGTATATGTGATTAGATAATTTGCATTACCCTCATGTTTATAGCTTATGGGCAATTCTTTTCATCAGGACTGAGCAATTTTGTTCATTCTTTGGACAGTTATTTAATTAGGACCTACTGTGTGCAAGATGCTGCACAAGCTGTGTTGTTTCTTCATTTCAAAGCTAAGGGCATTTTTGTCTCTCTGTTTGTCTTTTTCACCTACTCACTAGTTTCCATAGTGTCTAATGAAGAAAAAAAATCACCATGCAATTTTAATCATTACATCATAAACATCTGCTTTCAATTGTCTAGCTAATAGAGTGAAGTAAATTTGTGATTTTTAGAAATTGTATTTGCCTTTGGAATACACCATATGTTGATATTTTACATTAGAGGTAACAAAAAGGCCTGAGGAGATAAAAAAGAAAGTGCTTCCTATTGATAGTATGTTTACCATTAAAATAGACTATCCTTACAGGAAGTGAGTTCCCTGTCGCTGGAGGGCGCTATTTAAGCAGAATTGAATGCCTGTTTTTGTTGTTTTGTTTTGTTTTTTTAAGGGATATTGTGAAAAGTAATTTTCTATTTTAAATAGTATTAAAGTAGTTTTCTATATTCTAAACAGTCATCAATTAAAGGTAAAAGGAAGGGGCACAAAATCACTGAATAACACTGAGGAGGCAGTTAATTTATCCCAGATAACCTAGTCTAGATAACTCATTTGCTAAACCTAACCTTAATTATGTGTGTTCTATACATTGTTGAATATAGTGAAAATCGTCTAATAAATATTTATAGAAACTTCTCTACTTGTATTACAGAAAATAGAAATTATTGATGATGAAGAAAGTGACATGATAAGTAATTCTGAAGTAGAACAAGTGAATTCTCTCTTGGATTATAAGGTAAAATTAATTTTTCAAATTCTGAATTTATTAGGAGAAGGTATTAAATGAGGCAGACTTTTACAGTACCTATGTTACTCCCATTTTAAAGATTAAGCATTCTGGGGCTCTGCATTGATTATCTCAGGCAACTTGAATATCAATCAGAGTGCTGGATGTATTAATAATTGGTGGCTGGTTTAAGTGGGTATTATTTTATTATAGAGTTTGATGACCAAGTGTAATATTGATGTACAACAAGGTAGTTAACGTGAAATTCATGGAAATGCCTTTTTAAAGCAAATGTTCATTTTTTAACTAGTGGTGGAGTATGGTGGTATATACTTGTAGTACCAGCTAATCAGCAGAGAGACTAGGTGGGAGGATCACTTGAGTGCATGGGTTGGAGACCAGCCTAGTTGACACAGTGACACTCCATCTTAAAAAACAAATCAAAGGTAAAGCAGAGATTTTTTTCTAGTGATCCCTGATAACCATATCTTGAATTGCAACTTCTTCTGAAGACCATCTTTAAAAATATGATAATATACCTGTTCTAAGAGAAGTTTAAAAACAATTCCCAAAGCAAATACAGAATGAATATGAATAGAGATGACCTTTCCTTAATGTCACTTGTTACTAAACTGAAAGGCTTCCTTTGACAACGTGCAATACATAATTATGTTTTTATTAAATTTTGACATAAGCTATCAATCTGTATGTCAATATGTTTTCTACATAGACATATAAATGGTATCCCTTTGTTAGTCAGTATCCTATCTTACTAGATAACTTTGGAATCTTCTGAAAATCTGGCTACATAGTACTTCTTTCCAAATACAAAAGTTCTTTTTTTTTTAATATTGTCAAGTGTTCAAATCAGAGACTAGTAATCTTAAGATGTTATCAAAAATAGCATTTAAACAGAAAAGACAACAGCTGTTATTTTCTCAAAAATCTTTTCAGTTTTCCTATAATTGAAATTTATGTCACTTAACAGATTCTGTTTTCCAAATGTTCATAACATGTCAGGTTTTAAAATATTGAACATTGTAAACACAGAAGGAAATTGTCTTTTGAAATTTATTTGCCACTTGGTCAAAGAGCACAATACAATCCTGTATTTAAACTGTATTCCAGCTAACAGGATCATAAAGTTGTTGATTCTGAAGTATAAGAGATCATGCTATGCTATCCTACTTGGTCATATAATATTTCTAAATTCCAAGTTAAGGATTAAAATTACTCTGCAGGCCACCACTTGGCACAGGCTATGGAAACTACAGACGAGAAGCCTGGATTGCCCAGCTGTTAAGTTTGCTCCACTTAGCACTCTCAAACAGGTCAGATAGGGTCGGGCTCAAGACTCAGAGGATTCTTTCCAAGACCTCTCCCCTCTGGGATGACAGCCCACTTGAGAAGGTTTGGAGCTGAAGATCAGGAAGGCAGAGCAGAGTGTCCAGTCCAGAAATATCAATGAACATTTTTACTGAACTCTAAAGGACATATAGTAATCCAGTGATTTCCATTTTGGTAGATGCTGTGAGAACAAGAAGTCCTATCACATTAAAGGTATCCTTTATAACACATCACAATGTCACACCAACTTTTTTCTTTAATTATCAAAGATACACACCTATGTAAAAATATCATTTTATAATAATTATTTGTAAATATTTCCATTCACCTCACCTATGAATTGTTAGCTAAATTATAAAGTAATTATATAAAACCTCATGTATCAGTTATAATTGCAGATTTCACACTTCCCAGTTTAGAAAAGTAAACACTTCAGAGAAAATTGTTGTACCATCTTCCATTTACATATGCCTACTAATATTATTTGAGGATGAAAATCACTTTGTTTATTTCTTAAGTATATTCATCTTTTTTTGAAGACAAATCCTTATTTTACTCATTTTTTGTTACCTAGTTGTACAGCCTGGCACTTAGAAGTTCAATACCTAATTGCTGAGTGAGTGAAGGAACGAGTAAATTTATATTGTGAAATAATATCAATACTATTATTCAAGTGCTAATTTATATAAAATCAAATATGATCAGGAGCTGTATCATTAAAAATCTTCTTCCCATATGGAAACCATCTTTTATTCCTGGGATTTATTGTACCATATTGAAAGAATATTCCCTATGGTGCATTTGATAATCATTACTATAAAACCACCAATACTCAGTTTGGGTGTAGTGGAGTTTCTGATTGAGATACATCACTAAAAATCCATATTGCTAGGAGTTCTAACTAAACCAAAATGTTTATGAGACAAGCTGATGGGCACAGTAAGTGAGGCATGAGTAGTTAGCTGTATCATAAACTAGCACCTAAATTTTGATCTTCATGGAATCTTGGGTGCTCCCTAATTATTTTGGAGAAATATCAACAAAACTTACTAGGAATGAATGGAGGACTTTAACAAGAAAAATAAGCTACATTTTGTTTTGTGAAATTCAGTGTTATCTTACAAGTTCCACTCACAAGCACTCCATTTCCTAAGGAAAATCTCTAAAGTACACATAAATCACAGATTGTAATCTAGGAAGTGTTTAATAGGCTTGCAAAATACAGCTCCGTGAAGAAAATGTCTATAATATAAAACTGTATTAAATGTTTATGCTTTTGAAATATTTGATAAATACTGATTAGGAGAAACATTTGCATGAAAAGTTAATGATCTGCATATCAAAAGATTCTTTGTGACTTTGGCAAATTGGAATAAATATTTTCAAAATGTTTCTGATGGACCATGATGCAGCCCAGCAGGACTGTGTATTCAATGGAGACACTACTATAATGATGATAGCTATCTCCTGTATTCAAAAAGTCCTCCTGGTCAGCACTTTACTAATACTGCTGCTCTGAAAATGCCCTAATAAAAACAAAGGTTTAGAATTAGTAAAATGTATTGTGGCAGGAGCATGTTGAATTTTATTATAATGCTTACTTATAGCTTAGATTGTTGTAGAGTGCCTCTGGATAGGAATTTAGCTTGTGCAGATGTTTTACTTGATATTAAATAATCTGAAAAGGGAGCAGTTTTATCAAATAAAATAAATTCTAAACTAAGCTGATAAAATAAATGGTACAATAAACATGTTCACAGATTGAATGTGATTAATACCACAGCATCCTCTCAATTGAAACAACAAAATAACCATAGAATTAGCTACTTTTTCAAATTTTTTAAAAATTGTTTGTTATAGTTGGACTCAATACCTTTATTTTAATTATTTATTTTTATGTGGTGCCGAGGATCGAACCCAGGGCCTTGCACATGCTAGGCAAGCACTCTACCACTGAGCCACAACCCCAGCCCAGAATTAGCTAATTTTAATGTGTTTTATGCAGCTATTTGAACAAGGTCAAAGATTCTGCTATAATCTTTGAGTACATATTCGTGAGGTACAAAAATGTTAATATGATTTATGAATCAAATATATAATAATCATATATATATGTATATATATATATATTTTTTTTTTAAAATTATCCGTCACCTGAAATACAATTTTTGTTGTAAGTACATCCGAAATTTGTTCTCTTAGTGATTTTGAAATGTATAATACATCATCATTTACTATATTCACCTCACCACATATACTATTCAGGTTAAAAATAAAGAAATTTTGTCATTTGCAAAACATGGATGAAATTAGAGACCATTATTAATTTCAATTAGTAAGCCATGTACAGAAAGACATACTTCATGTTCTTTCTTATATGTGGAATATAAAACAATTGAATTCAAAGAAGCAGAGAATAGAATGGTGGTTTTCAGAGACTGAGAAGTGAGGAAATGAGGAGATGAATGATAGTCAAAGTGTACAAATTCTTAGACAGGAGGAAGAAAGGGTGTTTTTGTTCAGAATTTATTGTGGGTTTCTTGTTTTGTTGTTGCTATTTTGTCTTGTTTTGATTTTGTTTTTCTTTTGCTGGAGATTGAACCCTGGGGGTCAAGAATGTTCTCTCCCACTGAGCTACACACCAGAACTCTTATTTTTTCTTGTAAGAGACAAAGTTTCCCTATTTTCTTGCTTTAGCCTCCATGGTAACTAGTACATGCCACCACACTCCTTGTATTTTTAACCAGGTTTAATGATATATAATTTACTCATAGAAAAAAAATCAGTTAAGTATACAATTAAATGAATTTTGACAAGTGCAAACAGTTGTGTAAATACTGCCTCAATTTGTTTATTCACTTGCTAATGAAGGTTGGACTGTTTTCAGTTAAGGAATATTATGAAAAAAAAAAGATGCTATAAATGTTTGTGTATAAGTATTTTGGGACATGTGTTTTCATTTCTCCTGATTAACTATCTAAGATTACAATTACTGGATGAAAATTAATATATTGAATTTATATCAAACTGAAAAAAATCCAAATGGATGTACCACTTTATACTCTCACCAGCAATGTATGAAAATTTTAGTTGTTCTACATTCTCAACAATACTTGATATTATTAATTCTCTTAACTTGAGCCATTGTAGTATGTTAGTAGTAGTACTTCATTGTGGTTTTAATTGGAATTTCCATAATGGAAAATTATATTCATGCCGAATAATTTTTCATATATCTTCTTTACTGATATATCCAAATGCATTGCCTGCTTTTTAGTTTGTTGCTGGTTCTATAAATGGTTTTTGTTTTGTTTTGCAATACTGGGGAATTAACTTAGGAGCATTCTACCACTGAGCTAATCCCTGGCCCTTTATATTTATTAGATTGAGTTAGGATCTCACTAAGTTACCAAGGCTGTCCTCAATCTTTTGATCCTCCTGCCTCAACCTCTGGAGTTGCTGGGATTACAGGATCTACCTGGCCTATAATTGGGATTTAAACCCAGTTTATAATTGGGATTTAAGAGTTATTTATGCATGCTGGATACGAGTACTTTTTCAGATATGTGAATTGCAAATATTTTCTCCCAATATAAGAATTGTGTTTTATTTTCTTTACTGTGTTTTTTGATGAGTAAATTATTATGAAGTCTTTTAAGTTTCATGCTATTTATGTCCTTTCAGAATTTTTTGCCTTACCAAAGGTCACAGTTTTTCTCCAATTTTCCTGTAGTCCTACATTTTTAGGTTTCACATTTAGGTATATATCAATTTCTTATTAAATATTTTTTATGAGATGAGGTGAGGGTTGATAACTGTTTTTCAGGTGGATTTACATTTTCAACCACTATTTGTTAAAAGTTTTCTTTGTCCATTAAATCACCTCAGTACCTTTATTGAAAATCAATCAACCATGTGTGTGTGGGTTTATTTCAGTACTGTTTGATTGATACATCTGTGTACCCTTATGCTATAAATACATTTTCATAATTACTGTAAATTAGATAGTAAATTCATTCAGAAGGCTTTCATGGCCATTAACTTATTTGAGTCTTAAAATCCTCAATACTATAATGTTAAGTTTGGGATTATTAATATAATACGTATTTTACTGATGAGTAAACCGACAGAGTGGTTAATTGGCCTACCATGTTTACAGTTATTAGTAGACCTAGCACTAGAATACCACTAAATCCTAGACTAGTATCGTTTCTGATATAAATTTTAAAAAATACTGAAGAGAAACTGATCCCCATATCAATGATTCACAGTGGTAGATTAAGAGATATTTTCTTTTTCTTCCTTTTTATTTTATTTTTAAATGTGTTCTAATTAGTTATACATGCAGAATGCGTTTTGATATATTGTACACAAATGGAGCACAACTTCTCATTCCTCTGGATATACACAATGCAGAATCACACCAGCTGTTCAATCACGCATGTACATAGGGTAATAATTTCCTATTCATTCCAATATCCTTCCCACCCCAATACCCCTCCCCTCCCCTCACTCCCCTCTGCCCTTTCCAAACTTCCTCTATTCTTCCATAGCCCCCACCCTCAATTATGAATCAGAGAAAGTATATTCCTCCTTTGGTTTTTTGGGATTGGCTTATTTCATTTAGCATGATATTCTCCAGCTTCATTGATTTAGTGGCATATATTATAATTTCATTCTTCTTTAAGACTGAGTAATATTCCATTGTGTGTATATATGCTATAGTTTCTTTATCCATTCGTCTGTTGAAGGGCACCTAGGTTGGTTCCATAGTTTAACTATTGTGAATTGAGTTGTTATAAACATTGATATGGCTGCATGGCTGTAGTATGCTGATTTTCAGTCCTTTGGGTATAGACCGGGAATGGAATAGGTCAAATGGTGTTTCCATTCTAAGTTTTGTAAGAAATCTCCAGACTGCTTTCTCTATTGGTTGCACCAGTTTTCAGTCCCACCAGCAATGTATGAATGTATCTTTTCCCCCACATTCTCACCAACACTTATTGTTGCTTATATTCTTGATAATTGCCATTCTGACTGGAGTGAGATGGAAACTTGGAGTAGTTTTGATTTTCATTTCTCTAATTGCTAATAATGTTGATCAGTTTTTATATATTTGTTGAATGATTGTATTTCTTCTTCTTGGAAGTGTCTGTTCAGTTGTTTAGCCCATTTATTGATTAGGTTATTTATTTATTTTGGGGGTGTGTTATGTTTTTTGACTTCTTTATATATCCTGGGGATTAGTGCTCTTACGTGAGGTAACTGTGGTAAAGATTTTCTCCAATTCTATAGGTTCTCTCTTCACCTTATTGACTGTTTCCTTTGCTGAGAAGGAGAATTTTAGTTGGAATCCATCCCATTTATTGATTCGTGATTTTATTTCTTGCTCTATAGGAGTCTTATTAAGGAAGTCAGGGCCTAATCCAACATAATGAAGATTGAGACCTACTTTTTCTTCTATTAGGTGCAGGGTCTCTGGTTTAATTCCTAGGTCATTGATCCACTTTGAGTTGAGTTTTGTTCAAGGTGAGAGATAGGAGTTAAATATCATTTTGCTACACATGGATTTCTAGTTTTCCCAGCACCATTTGTTAGAGAAGCTATCTTTTCTCCAATGTAGGCATTCAGCACTTTTGTCTAATATGAAATAACTGTATTTATGTGGGTTTTTCTCTGTGGCTTCTTTCCTGTACCATTGGTCTACATGTCTATTTTGGTGCCAATACCATGCTACTTTGTAGTATAGTTTAAGGTCTGGTATTGTGATGCCTTCTGCTTCACTCTTCTTGCTAAGGATTGCTTTGACTATTCTGGATCTGTTATTTTTCCAGATGAATTTCATGATTGCTTTTTCTAGTACTATGAAGAATGTCATTGGGATTTTCATGGGAAATGCATTAAATCTGTATAGTGCTTTTGGTAGTATGGCCATTTTGACAATATTAATTCTTTTTATCCAAGAACATGGGACATTTTTCCATCTTCTAAAGTCTTCTTAATTTTTTTTTAATTTAGTGTTCTGTAGTTTTCCTTGTAGAGGTCTTTCACCTCTTTTGTTAGATTGATTTCGAAGTATTTTATTTTTGTGGGGGCTATTGTGAATGGGGTAGTCTTCCTACTTTCTCTTTCAGTGAATTCATCACTGGTGTATAGAAATGTATTTGATTTATGGGTGTTGATTTTATATCCTGCTACTTTGCTGAATTCATTTATTAGTTCTAGGAGTTTTCTGGTGTGATTCTTTGCATCTTCTAAATATAGAATGATATGATTGGCAAATAGTGACAGTTTGAGTTCTTCATTTCCTATTTGTATCTCTTCAATTTCTTTCTTCTGTCTGATTGCTCTGGCTAGTGTTTCAAGAACTATGTTAAATACAAGCAGTTAACAATGTCATCCCTGTCTCAGTCCAGTTTTTAGAGGGAATGCTTTCAATTTTTCTCCATTTAGAATGATGTTGGCATTGGGCTTAACATAGATAGCTTTTACAATGTTGAGGTATGTTCCTACTCTCCGTGGTTTAGCAGACTCCTCATGGTGGGGAGCTAAGCAAACTACTTACAGATTTAGTAATAACAGTCCCCCTTCAGTATAAATCAATCTTTTTAGTTTTCAGTATTTGGCTTTCTGAATGATATATTCAGCATTGCTGTACCTGGTGTTGCTCTTAGGGCTAATTGGACTCATATTCTTAATTCTAATGCAAATGCTAACTGTTTGATATAAGAAGTGTCTTATATCAACTTCTCTTATTGGAATTTATTTGAATGGGTTTTTAAACTTACAGTGTTTTTTGTTGGTGATTTTCTTAAAGGGAAGCCTTTGAGTTACAGGATAATTCCTATTGTGCTTTATATTTCTTTATGTTTTGGTTTATTTTATTTGTTGTCCCTCTGATCTGGTTGCTTTTAGAATTTTATTGTGCTTCAAACATGTACATTCTAATGTTAACATAAGGTAATTTTTAAAATATTTTTTTAGTTGTAGTTGGACACCATGCCTTTATTTTATTTATTTATTTTCATGTGGTGCTGAGGATCGAACACAGGGCCTTGCACGTGCTAGACAAGTATTCTACCACTGAGCCACAACCCCAGCCCAACATAGGGTAATTTTATTTTTTGATGTTTTCTCCCTCAGAATGAAGAAGTCAGATTCATTGAAAATGAGTTAGAGATTCAAAAGCAAAAATACTTTAAACTTCAGACTTTTGTTCGAAGCTTGATATTAGCTATGAAATCTGAAGATAAGGAACAACAACAGGTAGGTCCCAAAGAGACTAGTAAGCGAAAATGCATCATGTTGTAAAATAGCATGTCACAACTGGGTTCTTCATATCTTTTTTTTTTTTTAACTTTATATTCCTGTTTGACATAGAGGAGAATGGTTGTTATTTTACGACATTTTTCAGTTTTCTTGAGAAAAGGAATTCAGATTTTTGTGCCACTGTAGTGGGAAACTTAAATAATTGATTCCATATTTTATTAATTCCAGATCACACTTTAGTAGGGAAAACTGATTTTTAAATTGATTTTAAGGAAATTCCTCAAAATGTTTGTAGAAACAGGGCTACCCTAACTAGAGAGGCACATATTAGGGAAATTTTATGAATGAAAAAGTGAGACATTTATTTACCTCTCTTCTGGAACTTTGTTGCCTGAAAGCCCTCTGCAGAATTCACAAATGTTTGAATATCTTCTATTATGTGATCTATTCAACACTAAGAAATTATGAAATTATTTTGTGAAATTCTTTGACCGGACTGTGTAACTTAATTTTCTCAATTTAAGTAAACTCTTTCAGTCCCCTACTCTAAGATGAAATGTCCCTTGTTTTTTGCTATGGATTTTTGTTTATAAATACCTTCCAAGTTACATTTCCTGTCTCATATTTTTATGTGAAATCTATATAATCATTAATTCATCTTAAAATAATTATAGATGTATTTTAAATGTGCCATTTAATATTAAAGGATGCCAAATTTGTCAGATTTATATAGTTCCATGCTGTTCCTGTCTGATATGTCAGATTTCTGTCTGATAAGTCCTACCAATATTGTGAGAGTCAGGTAACCATTGTTTAGAAAGCAGTTCCAGAAATTTTTATTCAGTGAGTAATGTCAGAAGTATAAATAAATTCACCTCCTATACCCAAGCAAGACTTCACATACATACCCTATCCCAACATCTCCATGAGGAAAGATTTGCGTTTTAACATCCCATAATTCCACTTTTCTTCAAAGAAAAAAATCTTTATATTATTAACTGATGTGTTGAAGCACAAAATTAAAACTAGAAGAGTATTCATGAAGCTCAAAATAGCATGTACATTACATGTTCAGTATCATGAATTTTATTCCTTTAGCCCTATACATACACCAACATCAAGATGGTAGCCTTCAGTTACCTTTGCCAACTTTAAGCATTTTGCTTTATCATGTGACATATGCCTATTTCATTACATATTAAAATGTGTTTGTTTTTTAGGAACCTAAAATACAGTTTATAAGTGAACATTAAGGTATTTTGAACATGGTCCCAAGAGTGTTCTAGATTTTAAATAACTCTAAAAAATTAGGTCCAACCAATGCAATAATGTGAAGCATGGTATTGATCTCAAAATCTCATAGAATATTTTAATTCAGTTTCATGTCCAGTTAACTAGTACTTACCTGCTATAGTTATTGCTGTCTCCTGACATCTGGGAATTGCATATAGACTACATTTTATTCTAATTATAATCTCATTCCTATTTAGGTTCTTTCCCCAAGACCACAAGCAAATAATAAAATAAACTAATCAGTGTTCTATTTTTCTCCTTCTCTTTTACTTTTCCTTTGAAAAAAGGCCAATGAACAAACATATGGATAAAAAAAATTGGCTGAAAGAAAGACAAAGTGATATAAATATTTTGCTAAATGTTATACCCTATATAATCAGCACCCAAAATATAAACTACTGATTTTCATGACTTTCATAATTGATATGGGGTATAATGAACCTAAAAATATGGTCTCAAATATAGAAGACACTAGTGGTAGTGCATAAAAATAGTCTAGGTGATCTCTTAAATTATTGATTTTTATATTTTGAAATATTTATGGATTCATTTACAGAAATAATTTTAGTCTACCTAATAAAAGATAACTATTGTGTCATTAGTTTCTTATTTTTAAAAATTCGTCATTGTTTTCCCATTAGTCTTATTTGGGAAGTTGATTGAAATAAGTGGTCCATAAAACAATTTGACATGGTAAAGAATTTCAGGGTTTAAGCCTATATGTTACACTCTGATTGAAATGTAAGATTATCAATAGGTATTTTAACATCAATGACCATTTTTTAAATCAAAATAATGTTGCCAGCATTGTTCTAAGCCATAAGTTCTTTTTACCCCTAATAATTCCCTATGAGATCCTAACCTGATCAATTGCCTTTATTGAATTCTAATTCTCCACTTTACAAAGAAGATAATAATGATAACATTATAGAACTTGGCATTCATACCTTAAGTTCTACAGTAACTGTTACAGAGACTGATAGTGTATTTGGGAAAAGCTTTAATAATCTCTTGGAAGAATGACACTTGGTCAGACCCTGAAGACAGCTGTCATTGATGAAGAAACTTTAATAAAGAAAGTTGTGTTTATGTTAGGCTCCATGAAAAAAAAAAGCAGTTCCAACAATTGGCATATTCTGAGCATTTGTTCAGTGTGGCAATGCTGCAGTCTATTAAAGTATCGAAAGAAGAATGCTGAAGTGGTCTTATTAATAATACCGTATACTGCCTCAGATATTAAAGTTTTACTATTTCTTACTACACTCAATTTAGTCAGTCAACTTCATCAATACAGTGGCAAAGAAATGAAAAACAGTGCTTCTCTGATGTGTAGGACTCCTTACTAGAATTTAGAATACTATCATGTCTTCTCATCTACTTGACTTTCCAGGACTCTATGCACATGGTCAGTGAGTGTTAATTTGAAAACTTTCCCCTCTTTACTATGGTGGTGAGTTAAATCCAGTGATATATTATTCATAGTCTGATTAGTCAATTCAAGCAAATGTTCCATTGCACCTGGACAGAATTAATGGTATCCCACTGTTATAGAAAAATAGTTCTGTTTCTGGGTACTGGACCCCAGAACCTTAGAATTCATGTAATAATTTAGGTACCTTTGCTGTGTAAATATTCTCCATTTCAGCAAGAATTTCATGAACAACTTAATGATATAAAATAAGAAACACCTTTTTATCCCAGATAGGAGGTAGTCTTTCCTTGTACATTCTGAAAAAATGAAGAATGTACTCTTGCCTTTGTGCTACACAGCAACAGGTATAAGATCTATAACTGTCACTTTTTTTAATAAAGAAAATAGAAAAAAACTGTCTCATTTCAACAGTGGATGTCATATGTTCTCCAACATGCCCTGTCTTTCTGTTCCTTAATTGGATAGCTTTCATTTGTTCCTATTCCCTTGGTCCTTGTTTACTGTTGTGCCTACAGCCCACACTACAAGTAATGCTGTCTAAAAATTTCCAGATATACTATATTATTTTTAGCACTGGGAGCAGCAAATCAATCATTTAGTACCAATTTCTTATAGTCAAGTGGACATCCGCACCATCGGCACATAAAATTGGATAAATTATTTATTTCTCTAGTTTAGATGCATGTTCTGCAACTCCAGATGAAATAATGAGACCATGGCAAAGCTTAGTTCATCAAACTCAGTGTATTCTAATTATTCCAGCAGAGAAATGAGCAGCCTCTAGATACATCATTACAACAGTTAGATTTAATGGTTCAACTAGCGCTAGTGGGTGCTTGGCCATCTGTAGATAGGGGCATAGTGTAAGGAAAGAGAAAAAAATCAGTGTCTTCTCAAGTTGTTAAAGTTTAATCTAAAGTAGACTAGTTGAACTTCTTTCCTAACCACTAAATTCATTCTCCCAATGAAGAACAAAATGTGGTTTTCTCTAAGTATAGTGAAACCAGGCATGGGTATTTTAATAAAGAATACAATTTCAAAACCCTTTAGCAGTGATCAGTGAACACTCAAATACAGTATGAAAATCACTTACCGCAAACACTTCAAAGTACTTTGTTCAGAACACTTGCTTATTTCCCTCCTGATTTTCTCCTTTAGACAGGGTTCTAATCTACATAACCCACACTCTCAACATCTAGTATTATGTTACCTCTTATTAGTGTATGAATATATTTTTTTCTTTTAGGTAAGTTAATTATATAAGATCCTGAAACATAATTGCTTTTTTCTTTAAGACCATGAGAATAAATCAAAATGAAAGGGCTACAACTATTAACATTAAATTGAAAAAAAGTCTATCCACATACTAATCCAAAAAATTGATTTTTCTGACTCAGGCACTGCTGTCAGATTTACCTCCTGAATTAGAAGAGATGGATTTCAATCATGCTTCACCGGAGCCTGATGATACCTCATTCAGTGTGTCTTCTTTATCAGAGAAAAATGCCTCAGACAGTTTGTGATTTGAGGGGGAGGGGAATATATGATGCAGTCTTTTGGCTGCTTAACAGGTGTGCATTTCAAGATAACTGTATTCTGTTGCCCCAATAATCTTCAGTTGGAAAAATGCATTGTCGAAACATTCTGTGAAAGATGAACAAGATATAATGGCTACAATGCAAAAAGCTGCATGTGAAATTTTAAAGCATCATTTGAGATTTTCTTCCAAACTGGAACTCTGGGAAAAATTTAATTTTAAACAACTTAGCTATAAAATTTATTATGTCTGATTTCTGAAAGACTTTTGCTTGGCTTTTTAAAAGAATCTTAGTAATAGTTTTAACCGGAGACACAAAAATTAAACCATTTCAACATTACTTATAAAGTTGTTATAGCTGGATTGGTCTTGTTTTTGTAGCCATTACATCTTTCTTCCTCTCTCCTTTTCCTATCATCCATATACACTTTTACTCAGGAAAGTGGATTGAAAATTAAAAACAAAACTTTAAAATATTATTCAACCTGGCTGAGTCCTGGGATTTATTTTTCAACCCTTATGAGAATTTGACTTGAGATAATGATTGAAAATTGAAATGATTTCTAGTATGTAATTGTAAATTGTTGGTATTCTTCTATTATCCGACCCAAATATTTTCAGGGATGGGAGAAAAATATAGAAAGTTAATTCACTAACATAAAGTCAAATAAATCATTAATTGTATAGAAACAAAATGTAAAAGATTAATCTCAATGGGAATTCTTCATTGCTGCCAATGGTAAACATTGATAAGATTTGTATTCTTGCAAATTTGTGTAACCATGTTAAATGAAATATTGCACAAATATTTCAAGTTTGTCACCATCTTCATAATATTTTTTCAGTTCTTACATTTTATGAAACAGGAGGTCAAGGTAAGCCACTGAGAATTTTTTTTTAATCTAGTCACTCAGCTTTGCCACAAAATTTACCTCATTTCCATGTCAGGCATGTACAGAGCCATCAGCCAAGGATAACATCCAAAAAGTGTTATATTACTTTGGTTGTAAATCCTAGTTCTCTGAATTTCCTGGATACTATTCTGTGAATATTCACCTAAAATGGGCATGGTACCCTGTTGTTCTATTAGTAACTACCAGATGCCAACACATTGCAGACTGTTCTTTGCAGATCTTCCTTTCTGGGATACCAGAAGATATTACCAAGACCCATAGAAGGGAAAATTCCAGTTTTGCCCTAAGCTCACAGTGCCAAATATTTGTGAATTGGCAGTGTGGAACTGTGTTTTATGGTTAAATTACTATCTATACCTAAAAGACTAATGAAAGCTAAATGGCTGTTGTTTTCATTTCGGATATTTTTTTAAAAAATTCAATGAGAGCCAATTCTTATCTTGGAATCTACTGATATTTATGAATACAGAAAGGTAATCATGAATGTCTTTGACCTTGAAATATCCCCCCTACACAAAGGGGAGGATCACTGGACAGTCCTTCATTTTTCAACTGTTTGTTTGACTTGATATTGCCACTATAATACTGTTATGGTTCCTTTGTTAGCAGAAGCATTTCAAGAACACAGGTATGCTCCCATTTAGCTAAGAGGTTCTTTGCAAACAATGTTTAGTATTCCTTGATGACAAGTCAAATTTGCATTCAGAAAAAAGAGCAAGCCCTCTGTAACAGAATCTCAGATGTTAATATTAAATTTATAGATTGCATCAATTCCTCCATGAGATGTAGTCCCCACTCTGTACAGAAAATAGAAACCATTTCTTAAATAGGAAGAATAAAATCCCCCCAGCCTGAAAGTTTCTCCTAGGATCATTAGTTATGGTGAGTCTTTCAACTCAAATTTATTCTGCCTCAATTTAACCCTCTTCTTAGCTAGTTCTCATTGTAAAGTAAGAATAGGTAAGTTTCTCCTACATAATTTAACACTGAAGATTGTATCTTCACACCTTAGAATTTAGTCACTGAATGAAAATATATTTTTTAGTTCCTGCTATAAAGAAGGCACTGTACTTGATATTGGATTTCTCAGCAAGCCGTGGACTTCAAAAAGAAATGTTTCTTGTTAAATTTTCAGGGATATTAATAATATTTATTTAAGTAGAAACTGTAATCAATTTAAAGATTCTGCTAGGTATGATTCCTAGAGGGTATACTAGTTTACACTTTGGGGAAAAAGCATAGATGACTTCCTTGTTCCTGTATAAAGTTCCATCAAACTAGAAACTATACAAATCATAACAGTAAATTTAGGACTCCTTTTATCTTATCATTTGTATTTAATTATCACAATTATTTCTTTTACCATCACTGGAATTAAAACACTTCTGAAATGAAATGTGGTTGTTCTTATCTTGGAAACAAAGGAAACAGCTGCATGCAAAACAACATAATTTGCAGATTGAAATTATGCACCATAGATTCTGAAAAAGATGTCAAAGTCAAGTATTAAAAACTAGTATATAGGGCTGGGGCTGGAGCTCAATGGCAGCACACTTGCCTGGCCTGTGTGAGGCACTGGGATCAATTCTCAGCACCACCTATAAGTAAATAAAACTAAATAAAGGTCTATAAACAATTTTAAAATATTAAGAAAAAACACTATTATATGGCTGAAGATGTAGCTTCGTGATAGAGTGATTGATATCATGTGCTAGGCCCCGGGTTCAATCCCCAACACCACAAAAGAAAAAAAAAAATTATTATGAAGAACATATTTTTTTACAGATATAGATTTTAAGGGAAAATACAGTTCTTATTAACATCTCCATGGAAGAGGGTAAAAATCAACTAGTGTTTCTTTCTTTAGGGCTTACAGTCTTAAAACAGACCATAGGAATAAAGATGTAGTTCAGTGGTACAACCTGTGCTTAGCATGCATAAAGCTCTGTATTAGATCCAAAACCCTGAAAAAACAAACAAACAAAAAAACTACAAGGTACTATATGAATTGTTTCTCAAACAGAAATCAATGTTAAAAAAAAAAACTTTTTTTCTGTTAGCTGTATTTGGATGTCTGCTTTAAGCTTAGTATAACCAAGTTATTTTTAAGCAGGAAATATATATTTGAGAGCATTTAACTTCCAAACTGTGGACTTAAAAAATGAAGCCACCTTCTACCTTGCAATGAAGCTAAAATTAATCACAAGAAAATGAAAATTGCAGTTGCCCTGGAGAATAGGAAAATTAACACATGCACGGAAAATGTTAAAAGAAAATTGGCCTCTTCATTGAACTAGGGGATGTTTTATTGTAATGTTATTTATCAACAGCAAGACTTTTGTACTGCTATTGCAATAATGTGAAAGACATGTTTCTTATTGTTGGAGAAGAAAAGTCTGAGGCCCAAACACATCCTATGCTCTATATACTACCAAGATCTCAAAATATATTTAAAAGGCCATTTTATCCAAAAACAGAAACTTCTAGCTTAAGGGTTTTTGATATTCAGCAGTCTTACATGTTTGTAGGATAAAACAAAAATGGTAGATTTAAAAGAATTCTGGACTCTAGAGGTTTTTGTTTTGTCTTGTTTTGTTTGTTTGTTTGTTTGTTTTGTACAAGAGCATTAAACTTATATTCAGTGAATAGTTTCCTCATCTCAGCCTGATTGCTCATGATCTTTTTTTAAGAGAAATTTGAAAATGTTAACTGTGACCATTCTTCCAGATTGAAGTAATAGTATACCAGGAATATTGTTTATTTTTAATGTATTAGATTTCTATTCAGATCCTAAAAATGCACAATTGTGATAATTTACCTTTTTAAGGGAGTTGTCCATGCCATTGTGTCTAAATGTTAGGTAGATTTCTCTTTGAATTTGGTGTTATCCTTGGCAGACAGCACTGTATCATACCCTTCACCAAGCTATGCTCTGTAATGCTATAATGGAGGAGCTTACTAACTTTTGAACCTACAATCAACATACCATTGCATAAAACAAGCCTTTATTAAGAGCAGATTTGCTAACGGGGAAAAGAGAATAAAGTGATATTTTCATGCGAATATAATTATGATTGTTCCATTAAAGTGTATACTGAGTATATATTGTTCCACATTGAAATTTATTTTGCATTAACTTACTAAGTAATTCCTTTTAGCAACCCTGCATCCCTTTTACTGGTACTACCTCTGAAGCATACTATCACCTTAAAACCACATCAGATTGTAATGTGAATTTTTGTAGGGTTTTTATTTAAACTTTTATAGAGGCAATAAATGATTTCCAACTAATAGACATCTATTTCTTATTTTAGTGTTTATTTTTGTCAGTCTTTGTGTTATAAGCCTTTTTCCCCCATTTAAAACAAATCATTTCCTCTCCACTAGAAGGTGTTGAAAAAAAAAAAGAGAGAAACACAAAGAGTAATAAGGTGTTGGACGTCACAGTAGGGAGGACATGGAGTACTCAAGTGAAAATTTGATTAAATTTCAAGTTTATATATATATATATATATATATATATACTCAAACTTTACTTAATGAAGAACTACTCCAACACCAATGAAATATTGTGAATATTCTGTAGCAGGCAACGGATTTGCCCACAAGGACATATTTAAATGGTAAAACCTACAAGTAAATTGCCACATTATAAACAAAAACAATAGTATTTTTACAAAGATTTTTAATGTGTCAGTGTTTAACTTTTCCTGTTTCTCTTTGACACCAGTTGAACATGCTTTTAATTTAGATCAAATATACCTTCTTTGTCAAAGCCTTATACCAATTACAGCTCTTCATATTACCTAACTAGTGGGGAAGGAAAAAGGGAGTACAAAGGATAAGTTTCAAATAACACATCATCATTTTTCCTTCACAGATAATAAATTTTCAAGAATGTTGCAAGGAGGGTTGGGGGTTGTGGCTCAGTGGCAGAACACTGGCATAGCATGTGTGAGGCACTGGGTTTGATTCTCAGCACCTTGTATCAATAAATAAAATAAAGGTTCATTGACAATTAAAAACATTTAAAAAAAGAATGTTGCAAGAAGAAAATCACATGCAAACATGCACTTCAATTGATACAAATCTTTCTCACATCTGTGAAAACATTGATTTAAGATGTTGAAATCTTTTGATTCCATAAAAATGAATGGGGATCATTATAAATCTATTTAAAAGACAAGTCAATGGATGATAATCATTCATCAGATTGATATTTTTCTCATCCCTTGATATTATTTTTTACAGTTTTGCTTATGTATTTATGCATATAAAGTACTTTATTGTAGACACATTGGAAAACATAGAAAACATAAAGAAAAATAAAATCACTTGTAGTTTCACCACCATATATTTATGACTGTTAACATCTTTTTTAAGTATTTATTTTTTTAGTTCTAGTTGGACACAAAGCTTTTATTTTATTTATTTATTTTTATGTGGTGCTGAGGATCTAACCCAGGGCATCGCACATGCTAGGCGAGCTCTCTATTGCTGAGCCACAACCCCAGCCCGACTGTTAACATCTTTTTTGTTTTGTTTTGTTTTAATTACTTATACATGACAGAAGCATGCACTTTTATACTATGATGTATCATACATAGATGGAATATAATTTCTCATTTTTCTGAGTATACATATTGTAGAATCACATTGGTCATACAGTCACATACCTA